GCAAACACGTCTTTTGCATTTCAGGGCATTTTGACATTTGCGATTCGAATGATAGCTGGTGCACAATATTAAAAATATCGCCGCACCGAGTATTTTATTAATTGAATAAAAACATTATTGACAAAAACAATACGTTTGTTGTAGTAAATATAATTTTTAACACATGAAATGCTTAAATTTTTATGGAATTTACAAAAAATGACATTTTATATTAAAACTCTCATCCGCTCTTACATCACAAACAAAACGACGGCTTTTGCACGTTGTTTTAGCGCTGTCATTATTCGCACTTCTGGTTTTGTCATCGTGTGTACGTACCAGTGGCGGATCTAGGAGGAGGGTCGCCCCCCCGTTAAAAAAATGTATTCAATTTGTTTTTGTATAATATACAAAAATCATTAACTTAGTCTGGCGATTTTAAAGTTTGGACCCCCCCCCCCCCATAAAAAAAAATCCTGTATCCGCCCCTGCGTACATGTGTATAGCGGTAGCGAACATGGCATAAAAGCAAAAGCTGGATCAACTATTAAATTTTAAATTAAGTTAAACAAAAAATCCGACCGACCGACCCAATTTTTCAATTTTCCGACTTGAAGGCAACATAAGTGTTGTTTTTTATTTTGGCATAACGGGTGACGAGATATTTTAGTGTGTACACTGGATATTTCAACGATATTTGGTGGAACTATGAACATAATACCATTCAGTACTTGATTGTGCTCGTTTGCCAGGGAGAAATAGTAAAACCGATTAATAACATACAGTATTGAACATGACCAACTCGGATCAGGTCGATCGATGACTATACTTCCAGGTTTTTGTCATTTACTTATTCTCGACAGATGCGAGATATCGAACTTGAAAATGCACTGTACATTTTGCGTCGCCGTCTACCAGGAAAACGGTCTGCGTCAACTTGAAAATGCAATGTGCGTCGTCGACTACTAGCAAAAATGCGTCTGCGTCAACTTGAAATTAAACATGTAAAGTCTCCTATGGGGACTCTACGGAAAGCCGTACGGGACCCTGCTGCGTCAATATAAATTGCATGGTAAAACATATAGCTTCAAAATTATGCTGCTTCTTCAACAAAAGTGCGATTTCCGATGTCTACGTTTACCAATTGTAGTAGTAGCAATCAGCACAAAACTTATTCACAGTCGTCGCTAATTAATTAGTAGTTGTCGCAAAGCGAGATGTAGTAGTCGTGATTTAACGGGTGATGATTTGTAGAAGTCACTAACACACTACAGCGTATTTGTCGCTGACGCAGTTCCTTAATTTATAGACGACGACACTTCATTTTCCAAGTTGTCGAAGCAAACAAGTCCCCCTAGTAGACGACGCAACTTGCACTTTTCAAGTTGTCGACGCAAAACGAGTCCTATGGAAAGCCGTACGGGACCCTGCTGCGTCAATATAAATTGCATGGTAAAACATATAGCTTCAAAATTATGCTGCTTCTTCAACAAAAGTGCGATTTCCGATGTCTACGTTTACCAATTGTAGTAGTAGCAATCAGCGCAAAACTTATTCACCGTCGTCGCTAATTAATTAGTAGTTGTCGCAAAGCGAGTTGTAGTAGTCGCGATTTAACGGGTGATGATTTGTAGAAGTCACTAACACACTACAGCGTATTTGTCGCTGACGCAGTTCCTTAATTTATAGACGACGACACTTCATTTTCCAAGTTGTCGAAGCAAACAAGTCCCCCTAGTAGACGACGCAACTTGCACTTTTCAAGTTGTCGACGCAAAACGAGTCCCCCTAGGTGACTTTCCTTTTTTCATTTCAAGTTGACGCAGACGCATTTTT